CCGCAGCCGAGGCGGACTCGTTCTGGTGTCTGACACGCCTGCTGGACGGGATTCAGGACAACTACATCAGCGCTCAACCAGGCATCCAGCGCTCAGTGCGACGCATGTCGGAGCTTGTCGCGCGCATCGACCCGCCACTGCACGAGCATCTCGCGCAACAGGGCGTCGAGTTTATGCAGTTCGCGTTCCGGTGGATGAACTGTCTGCTCATGCGCGAGCTAACCGTGCGCAACACCGTGCGCATGTGGGATACGTATCTCGCAGAGGGCACGGATGCGTTCTCGCAGTTCCACCTATACGTGTGTTCTGCGTTTCTCGTTCGATGGAGCGATAAGCTACGTACCATGGACTTCCAGGTGAGCTCGCGAGCGCACTCCGTTGATTAGGATCGTTTGCTGACGCAGACCCAGGGCATCATCATGTTCTTGCAGTCCCTGCCTACGCAAGACTGGGGTGATCATGAGATGGAGATGTTGCTCTCCCAGGCGTTTGTGCTCAACTCAACATGGGCTAACGCGCAAAGCCATTTCCTCGGCAAGTAAACTTCTATCTCCCGCAGGATTCACAGCATACCCTGTACAACACAATATATATAGTCATACGGGCAATCTGTACGCCGACGGTGTTTTCGCAAACTGGAACTTCATCTTGGCCATAAAAGAGTGCAATGTCCATCGGAATCACAAGACGTATGTGCAGGAACTGTCTGCGATGTAACACACCATTACTGGTAGGGTTTAATCTCTGATCGATCCACTAACTCCTTCCAGCTATCCGATGCCCACTCCGCTCTATCGTCAAGCTTATGACCCTTCGTCTGGATATCGAGCGAAGTAAGTTTGCGGTTCAGCATCTTGCGCGAAAGTAGCGCGCTGTAGATGTAGTGCAGAGTCATATCATCGGACATGTCAAGATCAGATATGAATATCGCCTTGAGAGCGGGAAAGACGTCGTCGTTGGGGTGAGTGTCAACGGGCTGATCGAGCGCCTGCATGAAGGGTCCCACGGAAGAAAGACAGCGATCAAGCTCAAGGGTGTGCACGTTGCTAGACGCTGGGTGGAAAAGGTCGCGAAGAACGGTGCTGCTCGCCCACTCGTAGTGATGACGATAGTATATGATCTGGGGGCAGGTGCCCAAAGCGATTTTGGCGAACGATAGGAAGGTCCCCGACGCATCGGCGAGCTCAGATGTGTTGATAGTGAGCGTGAAATGGCTGTCGGGAGGACACCAATGGTACTGTGAGGCATGTCCGAGGGGGCTGTCATGAGTATCAAGCTCTAGTGAGAATCCACGGTGGATCCCACGGGATGATCGAATTCGCAAGGATGGCAATTCGGGACGCTCTTTGTGCTTCACGTATGCGTCCAGTAATTTTCCCAGCGCAGAGGAGGTCACATCGTCGCAAGCCTCGCAGGTTAGATCAATGGATAGGTTTGGCGGAGCCAGAAGGGAGGTCCACAAGGCTACAGTCATTGGGCCAAGAGCAGACAAGGTCAGACTGCGAAGGCGTGAAAGACGAAGACTATCGACAACAGGTGCGCGTATATCGATGGCGTTGCCCAGTGAAGATCGAGCAGTGAACGAGAAGCTCTCCAACAGCTCTAGGCGGCCCAGGATTGTAAGGAGTTCAGATAGCTGTGTCGCACAACGCTCGTCGCAGATCTCAAGCTCTCGAAGGTTGAGCGGGGCGGTATCCCAAGGGAAGATACGCAACATATCTTTGACATAGATATGCTCTAGAACCGGTGCGCATGTCGTGAAGAAATGACGAGAGAGAGGCGTGCGCCCGAGTTGTGAATGTTCGCCAGTGAGATAGCGGGAGGTGTGCAATGTCAGTCTTGACAGCTTCGGTGCTGGCCGGGTAAGAGTCAAAGCTAGAGCAGCTAGGTCGGCCTGAGAGCGGATCGGTAGTGACAAGTTTTGAATGTTATGAAGATGGTGGGAGAGGCACTCTTGATAGCCTGGTGCATACGTAGTATCCTCAACATAGATGGTGAGAGGGTAACCGCGAGCGCGATGGACGAACTCTGGCTAGGGAAAATCGCCATTCACGCGTACCCTGGCCCAGAGTGATGCGTGATTGAGTGCTGCGTTCCTCAAAGCGCGACAGACGTGTGTAACCAGAATCCATCCCAGCCTCTCCGTGTAACAGCGTTCGAACGGAGGTTCATGGTTGGGCGGCGGTTCGGGAAACAATGGCCAGTACCAGTCGTTCTCTTCTTCGTATCCATTCACGGCGTCGTCGGCTAAGTAGTCGAAGATCATGGCTAGGATTTCAGGAGGAAGCGAATGAATGGGCGATCTAAGCGCATTCCGGCGCGCATTTACGTCCGAGAGCAAACGATGTAGTGCATGAGCCTCCTCGGCCAGAGCATTGGCCTGTTCGTAGCGACACCCGCGATGAGCACTCAATAGAGCACTCGAGGTCCATGCTGGGCGTAGACTTAGAGCATGTCTCCAGTACGCTTCAGTTCTAATGAATGGTGAGATAACAGCCGTATATGAGCGGTGTGCCAAACGCACTCTTCATCTATCTCCTCGTTTTCTTCGTCCTCGTCAGAGAGCCATTCATTTTGTATGCCCGTTCCATCCATATGGAGTTTTACGTGAGAGCAAATGGGGTCTCGGTAAAGGGACAGAGCTGCAAAAGTCGAAGCGCGAGCAAGGTGATGGTGGTCTATCGCAAGTCGCTGGCAGCCCACGCTCGTTCTTGACGAAATGATGCATTGAATGTTGGGCTTGGTATACAGGTCTGACATGCCCACTATGATGACTAGCAATGCGAGCGTATGATGCGACAGTTCTGCTGGAGGTTATACGGTACATACAGGGACTTGATTGAAGTTGATTGTACATATGTCATCTACTAGTAGCGCTTCCCCTGCTCCTTCGGGGAAAGCAGAACGGACACATCCCACGCGTTAAAACAAGCGAAACCAACAGTAAGATCCACCGATAAAGAATCTGCACTCGGTGACGTCCCACGCAGAGTGGTCAATGGGCATACGGCCCGACGGGCGGGGTCCGAACCAGAACCGAGTGTCTCCATACATCCCATTCACGAGTCCAGCATCGTGCATCTTCATGACACAAAGAATAAAGCACCCATAAGGCCCGCAATCAAACCAACGCCGATTGCAGCCAGCGCCCTACTATATGTAAGTTGATTGCTACAGATCCGCCGAAGTAATGTGCCTCACCTCCGGCGCGAGGAAAAGTAGCGAACGAGATTCCAGCTACGCTGCTCCTCACCCGCCTTATCGGAGCCCGATTTCAGCCATGGGGGTACCGCGTCGGGGAGGGGGATCTCCATTTCGTTGTCAATCCCGGCGCGCAGGCCGTTTGATACGGCGTCACCTTCCAGCGCGACCAGACGGAACAGGGGATAATACGTCCTCTTGTTGTCTGGATTGACTTTGCTTTTGAAGTTGCCTATAGTGGTGCTGCGCAGCCATTGCGCGCTGACGTCTGCTTTCACTACATCGGCAACCGCTGGAGGCGCCACATTCAGGCCTATGCTGACCTGTCGCACTTCGGGCGTCCCGAGATAACGCGCGTAGGACGAGGTCGCGTGCACCTCTGACACGATCACAGTTCCCTCAGGTAGAGTTGAGTCATCGAGCAGTGGTCGCAGTGCGCCGGGTGGATCGATAGTCGTGATACTGTCGCCATTCATCGAGAGTACCGCGCCCTGTCCCGAGTGGAACTTGAACGATGATTTGATCCCACAGTTTGCCAATGCGGGCGTTTGCCTATGCGAAAGGGTTCAGCCGCTGGTACTCACGAGAAGGGTCGGGGTTAAGATGTATGGGCATGGGCATGGGCGAAGAAAACGCCCAGGCGGAAGGGAAGAGAAGCATAGGTGAAGGGTACGCACGCGCTCACGTCTGCACTAAAATCTGTCTCCGCGGCATTCTGGCTAACAACCCAACTGACTCCAGTGCTGCCTTCGTGCTCGTATGTTTTAGGCGGTGGCACATCGAACTTCTTGGCTCGGCCGTTGTCGTAGATGTTGCCCTCCTTGAGAAAGACGCCCTGTCGTCGATCGCGCGCCCAGAACTTGAGCCAAGGAGCGCGCGCGCCGCGCGTGATGTAGCCATAGTCACCGACGCGCACCTCAACCTCTGGATCCCATGCGGCGTACTTGCGCGACGAAGCGAAGAGTAGCTCAGTGTAGGTGCGCTCGGGGTCGTGGGGTGCCATGCTTCGCGTTCTCAAGGATGATGAGGAGCGGTGGGCTGAAGCGGGTGTGAGATGGTGGTTTCAAGGCGAGCGCAGGAGGTGGAGAACAAGGGGAGGGGAGGTGATAGGGCCATCAGGCATCATCCTTTGTCCTTAAGTAAAAAGGTTGGTTGTGTGATGATGCATGCCCCGCGTTGCCGTCCCGGTCATATACAAGCTTTAAGCCGATCAGGAGGTGGGACCCTGAAGTAGGCGATCGCAACCCCTCGTCGGAGTTCTCTCAGCGGTAAGGTCGTAGGATGGCCGGACATGCTTCAATGACCGACAGTCGGGCTTCGAATAGCCTCATAAGTGTGAATGTCTAGGACTCCGTACTCCAGTCACGTAGAGAGAGAGACGGCGGTAATGGACTGTTCTCGGCGTCATCGGGAGTAAGTGGCTACGCCTGTAGTCAAGACTGGTGATAACAGCAGGTCGTCATCTGGTTGTTGAACAGGACTTCATAGCAGCGAACTGTTCAACAACTCAAGCGAGAGAAGAATCGTAGCTCAAGGTTCTCGAGAATTTCCCACGTAATTCATCAACAATTGTCGAATACTGATCAAAAGCGACACAAAACATGTCGCCGTTCGATCGCGCAGCCCGATGTCCCACAAGAGCTGAGAATCATGTTTTTTTTACCAGACCATTAAGCTTAAGAGAAGGTTCGCACAGTGTTGTGTCCGTGGTCTCCAGGTCGAAGCTGGAGCCCGAATCCATGTACATGACGGCGTAAGCCAAGAACACGTTTGTATTCCCATGAGAAGAAGAAGCAAAATGGACGAGTTGGGGATTGAACCCAAGACCTCATGCATATATGTACCAGATACGGTGCTAAGCATGCGCGCTACCACTGTGCTACACGCCCTGGCAGATGGTGCCCTTGAGTGTAAATATAATATATGATTCAAGAGCACAGTACGAGCGCTGCCTCCAATGTGAGCCAGCTGGTCTACGATCAGGAGGCTTGCCACGTCATACCAGATGCAAAGAGCAAGGAGATAGTCCTGTCAGCCGGATAAGACGCGAGAAGCGATAGAAATGGTTCACAGAACGAGAAGGAGCATTCTCATGTATGCCGTGAAGACATGCACGCAATCACAACGCGAGCCTAATCGGTGGTGGCGAGTGTAGAAGTTCAGTAGCAAGATACGGCGGCCTTGCGTAGATTGGACTTCTACTATGTACTACGTAACTTAGAGTGCGATAAGCTCTATATGAAGACCGCCGTGTGCACTAAAATCACAAGCTTTTCGAGACTCCAATGATGCTGCCTCAACTATACATACATATCTTGGCGCTCGTCCGCGGTCGACCTAAATGGCGTATGCAGTCATCATAGTACTCCCACATGATGAGATCAATGACCGAAAAGAACACGGGAGAGTGTGGGTGACCGAACGCGAGGCAGCGGCGAAAGAGTCCATCATGGATATGCGGGAACGCAAACAGACTTGTCGGACCGCGAAGAGACGCTAGAAAGCGTCATTGTGCCAACACCTCAGCCTCTATACTAATCTCGAGGTCACCGCCGATCGGATGCCCGCCGGAATCGATTGAATTGCCTGAAGGACCTGTCATGCAACCTGCTCACCCGCGCCGAGGACTGCTACAGGTGAAGTTTAAGCCAGGTGATTTGAAAGCCCAACGAATCACATACGCCAAGAGATCGGATTACAATACCCGAGGGTCTGTGATACTTAGGGACGCATGCAGATCGACATGAGGTGCATGCGCAGATGAAATCACGACAGTACTCATTATGGTGCTCGCAGTCCTATAGAATCGCCCTGCAGGGTACCATCATCTCAAACGACCGACATTGCAGAGCACATCATAGACACTGAGCGAGACAATGCCCTGGCCCCTCGTCCTGCCAAATGAAGTCGTGAAGGGTCTACGCGCTCTTGTGAAAGGTTATACGAGTTGGTCTACCAATGACACCGACCAGTTCGGTCGACTGCGTGAACGGATACAAACGAGCAGGAAATGTCGAGACATGACAGGCATTGATGCACGCAAGCGGTCAGCAATGAGCATTTGCCATTGAGCAGCGGGACGAGCCTGAAAACACTTCATTTCCAATCATTCAAAGTCCGGGCAATATGCAGGAGCAAGAACCCGCATTCATACGCTGAGCATGCCCAATACGCGCACTGTAGACAACACTATGAGCCTACCAAAGTCCACCCAGACCACTACGCGTTTGGTAGTCGTAGCACGCCCTCTACAAACACAGCCACTTCACATCACGTCCCTACTCCTGGCCCTTCACAAACTCGATCTCCCTCTCGATCGCCTCACCCACCTCCGCCGCTTCATCCCCCGACCTAGTCCTAACCATAAACCTAGCCGGAACATTCTCACCCTCGGGAAACCCCGTAAACGTCACCGATTTCTTCGACACGGTTGGCTTCGCCATGTCGGATTTGATGATGAAGTTGAAGACGACCCGACCGGTGGAACTGTTGCGGAGGAAGACGCTGCGTTTGTGGGTGGTGTCGTTTTTGCGCACGCGGAGGATGCCTGGGAGGGGTGAGGAGATGTTAGTGTGATGTATGAAGTGTGAAGGATGCGGATATGAGAGCAGGCAAGTGTGTGAGGCCGGGTCAGGTCTAAGTGCATGATCCTGCCTCAACGACGAAGGTAAAAACATAAGACCGGCCGAGTTGTTAAAAGCCTCAAACCGAACCCGAGGTTTACTACGCTCCGATACAGGGAACCGGAAACTGTAGGGGAAAAACAGATTGAGAACTAAATACTCACCAACTCCAATATCATTCCACCCAGCCTCCTTCTCCCCCTGCGCTGCCCTAAACCTATAAACCTTCGCCCTCACTCGGTGAACGGTAGGCTCCGCATCGGACGCATCGTCCACCGTATCATAATCCTTCCCACTTCCCGCTCCTTCATCTTCTCCTTCAGGCGCAGGAGTCGCAGATTCTGGTGAAACCGTGCCTTCTGCGGGTTTGCCAAATGAGAAGCCACTGCCGGATGATGCGAAAGGCGAGGTCGACGCGGTAGACGAAGATGCCCCAAAAGGCTTAAACGCGCCCGTCCCACTCGCACTCCCGAACGCACCCGTCCCACTCGCACTACCAAACGCTCCCGTCCCACTACTCCCAAACGCCCCTCCACTCCCTCCCCCAAACGCACTCGTCCCACTCCCAAACGAGAACCCACCACCCTTCTTCTCCTCATCCTTCTTCTCGCCCTCCCCGCCCTCGTCTTTCTTCGGCACAGCAGGACCTAAATCAAACTTAGGTGGCGGCCCTCCAAAGCTGAATCCAACGGGTGGCGTACGACTAGCAGGCGGACTTGCATCTCCAGTGGCACTTCCGAATGTAAAGGGACTTTTTCCAGGTGTAGTCTGTTTCGCCGCGCCGAATGAAAAGCCAGATGTAGGTTTATCTGAGGCGCCTGCGGATGTGGACGAAGGACCGAACGAGAAGCCGGGTTTCTCGACTGCTGGTGTGCTTGCTGATGAGACGCCGAAGAGAGATGCAGATGGACCGGTGCTGGTGCTTGTTGCAAAAGGGTTGGGTGAGGAGCTCGAGGATGAGGAACCGAAGAGTGTAGATGCGATAGGTCCGCTCTTGAATGCGCCACCAAACGTCGGAGCAGGTGCAGGCGCAGGCGTAGAGTCCTTCTTCTCTTCCTTCTCCTTCTCCTCAGCCTTAGCAGCAGCAGGTTCCGAGTCCTTCGTCTCTGGCTTCGAGCCGAATGCAGACGTAGCAGCGGACGGGAACGAGAATGAGCCGGGTTTAGCGGCAGGCGCAGCTGAGAAATCTGGCGTAAAGCCACCCGTCGCGGGTTTAGACGACGTAGACGAGGTTGAAGAAGTAGACGCAGTCGAGCCGCCGAAGCTGAAGCCTCCAGAAGGCGGTTTAGGCGCCGCAGGAGGAGGAGCGCCGAATCCTGAGAAACCGCCCGTTGCAGGTTTAGGCGCGGACGTAGGCGGGCCAAAGCCTGAAAAACTGCTAGGTGGTGTAGGCAGCGGGGTAGCGGAAGTAGCAGGCGTAGGAGCAGCCGTAGCCGTAGTATCGAATTCAGACTGCACGCCTATACGATGTGAGCGGTACTGCTCGAGCAAACCCGCGAGATCACGGAAGGGATCCTCTTCGACTGCGTTTGTGAGGGCTTTGACGAAGGAGGCGTTCAGACCGCGGAGAGAGGTGTAGTACTTCACGGCTGGGTCTTGGCCACCGTTTGTTGTCGGTGCTGGTGGCGTAGGGCTTGGAGGGGTAGAAGTAGGCTTGGTAGAATTGACGAGCGAGGCGAATGTCTTGGTCGCGTTTGACGTTGTTGTGCTGGGTGCTGCAGATGCGGGTGCAGCTCCTCCAAAGCCACCAAAACCACCGAAGCCGCCGAACTTAGGTTTGTCTGCCACCTGCAAGCATATGTGAGTTTCACTTTGTCCTCAAGTATAACAGGGAATACATACGGGAGCCGAGGTGCCATTTGCACTGGGCGGGGGAGCGGGAGCGGCGGCGCCTGCACGTTTGGGTAGACCACGTATTCTGTATTCATTGTCAGGAAGGATATATACTAGTGAACACGGAAAGTGCAGACTTTCTGGCGGCGAGGACGGTGTCGTCGGCCTTTCGGAGGCCCTGGACACCTTCCTGGAGCATGCTTTAGAGTCGCGGTGGAGGTTTAGCAGACAGAAGTCGTACCTCGGACTCTTCCTCTGGGTCGTCATCCCTAGTGAGCTGCTTCTGAGCTGTGCGCTTCATGGTGTTGAAACAAACGCGTAAAGAGCGAACAAACACGCACCAAAGTCGCGTCTCCTTCGGGGCACGTGTCCGCGCGCAGGCAGAAGCGTTCTGAATTCGGCCTGTTCCTCTTCTCCTCCCACAAACAAACCAAAGAAATAATGTCCAGCCGGTCGCCGTCGCCGCCTGGCCCAGCGACACCGGAAAGCGCCGACTGCCTTGACCCTGCGACTGCTGCGATTGAGGACATCGGGCAGTGGTACGCCGACGTCACACAGGACGACGCCCAGACCCAGGACCAGTTCTGGCACCCTCCTCCGCCCAAACAGAACGAACACGACCTCACTATGCTCTCTCTGCACGACCTCATCCAGGAGCACGCGTACGATAACGAGTAAATATATTTTCTTTGTAGTTTACAGCGTGGAGGCTGAATGTCTCAAACAGGTCCTCGTCGTCCCCTGCCTCCTCTGCCCCACCATCCCACCATCTCTCGCCAAATAATTCGAATGCGATGTCGCCTGCACCTGCTACAGGGAGCACTTCGACTGTGACGGCGAGCAACTCGCGGAAGAGAGCAGCGTCGCCGGCCCGGAAGCGAGCGTCGACCGTGGACGGCTCTCCCGTCGTCTCGCCCCCGCGCAATCAATGCTCAGCGTGCGTTTCCTTTATTCGCTCAATCAAATACTATATCTGATCGCGAATCATTCAGATTGCAACTTCTGACGCCCAACCTGCCCGAGTCAGGCGCCAAATCGCGCGTCGAAACCCAGATCCGCGTCACGCTCGACCTCGCACAACCCACCGCTCCCTTCGCCCGCGTCGGCTCGTGGAAATGGTTGCGTCTCCCCACTGGAACAGCCACCAAGAAACGGACACGCAAAGAAGGCAAGATCGGTGCGTTATATTATTGTTTGAACCTGTGGCGCCCAAACCTTGATTGTTGACTTGTGCTTCCGCTGGGGCGTTTAGACCCCCAGCCCGAGGATATCCTGCAGCTCTCATGCGACGTCACTTGCGCTAGCGCTCCCCACGCTCGTGTCGTTTGTTGCTCGTCTTGTCAGAATCGAGAGGTACGTTGCGGGATTCCGGGATTTACATCAAATAGATATTGACACGCCCTTTTTTGAACTTTATCTAGTCTAAGCGCGTC